TCACATTTTTGATAGATCTCATTTTCACGAGTCCTGATTGGTTGACTAAACTTTGGCGTTTTTCTTTCAGATAAGCTCAATTGTAAGCTGGAGTTTGATGTTACCCCCGGAGAATTGCAAACCGCTTTGTAAGTCTCTCGGCTACTCTCACGTCAAGAACCAGAAGCAGTGTTTGCTTATCTCACTATGCCGAAAGCTGCATTCCTAAAACAAATGAAAAGTGTATCTTCTCCTATAGTACTCTTTGAGTCCAGTAACTCGTCTATTAACTTCCCCTAAAAGGAGAATAGTCGAGGTGAATAGATAACTAATGTAATTAATCATTCGTTAAAATAAATTTGGCGTATGATTTTATTTTAGGAAGGTTTTTGAAGAATTTAATCAGAAGTCAAAAGACGACCTTAAAGAATCCGAAAAACAGCTCGAAAGAGAACTAGAAAGGTAGGAAAAAAGAAGTAAAGGTGAACGAGTGAGATGAATTAAGAGAAATAGAGAGCAAGCTGGTTGATTTTCTAGTGAAGACATAAGGGTCGAAGTGATTTCGAAACCTGCTATTTAGTGTTGGAACGACATATCGAGTTCGTTTCCCGCATAGAAACGTTTATCTTCCTTTAGCATTTTTTCTGTTTTGATGTAATATCATCTCTGCCTCTGTTTTCTAGAGTCAAGCGAGCAAATGATAAGTCTGGAAAAGAGAGAGTGGCAAATAAGGTAACCTCCGTATTTAAAACTAAAGGATATTAAACTGGTATTTTCATTCTGAAAAAGATATTTCAAAATATTTTCTGATCATTAATCAACAGCAAATCATAGCAGCGAACAAGGCATGTGAAGGTCCGGACATGTTTGGTGGGTGCGGTTCCAAGGCAGAGTCATACCAAACAGGAGTTTACGAGCAACTTAGCACCGTAAATCGTCAGTGCTTCAGACTTGACAGCCGTTCCATTGCATCAGGAATGAACGGTATTCTGAAATAATTTTAATCCAGGACTAATAAGATTTAATCCTGGGCTTCGTTCCATGTTTGTTTCTCGGTATGAATGTACTTCTGCAGATACAAAACTGATGACAGCTTTCTTGTTTTCCTGTGCAAACAGACGGACTTGTATTACACTCGTTTTTCTTGAACTTGAAATGACTCTTAAATTGCTCTGGTTTCCGAAGTTTTCTTGTGTTTTCCTTTAAGGATGCGACAAGACTAAAAAGAGGAAATATCTGAGGCCAAAACCCCTGGCAGCAAAAATATAATGTTTATTTTTCTTTACAGGACCTACAAACCAGACACCCCTACAACGGGAAGCGAGGAAATCCTCTTTACAAGGACGGTCGTTCTTTCTTTCTCTACCTGTTTCCCCCAAAATCTAAATTGTTAAAGCACCGATCCTACTCATCTATTCACTTGATTTCTACCTTAGCGGTTTTACTGAAGACTAAAGGTTATTTAATTGGCCAGCTGATTTATATTGTTTTTTCAAGTTCCAAACCTCTATGGCTACCTTCACCAAGGGTTATTAAGGCTTAGTAGTAATCTGTGTTACTTTCACTGTTACCTGCGTAGTTTAAAATAAAACTTCTGTTGACAATTAAACCTCGGTTAAAACCCTTAGATTGGTGGTAAACATCATAAGACGTAAGCGTCTTACCCAAGGGCAGGATCCCTCGATCCACCTTCCGATCTACTGCGTTAGCTATTTTAAAACCATCGTGCCACATCTATTAAAGAACTCATTACTTTGTAGTGAAGTCTGGATATGGGCAGTTCGTAGGCTTCATTCAAGTGACCACGATTTGATCCTTAAAGCCCACGGACTAAAAAGCCTCATGAAATAAATTCCTTCAGTTTTTCCTAGCACACCATTTTCAAAATTATTCATCCTAGTTGTGGAGAAGAAACGTATCTTTACCACATTTAGACCATGAGAACTAAGTACAAATGGTATTATAGAAGCTCTCAATGTTTCACTTTGAAAAATCTCAAAACAGAAATGTTTCGTTCAGCATTTTAAACCGAGGAAGATAAGAGCTGGTATTTGACGCACATAAGAACTTGAAACTGATCTACCAAAAGAGGACTTCCAAAAAGTGACATTAGCCCCAGAACAAAAATTATATTTCAATGCGTTATTAACTGCAGTGTTATATTTTCTTCCTTTCATTCTTACTGCAGCAGTGTAGTTTAAACCTTCTTGCAAAAATATTCCTTTAGGAAAATACACCTCAAATGTTTTCTTAGTCGAAAAGCTTGCATCATAAGTGTGAGACCTCTTGGCTACAGTTGTATTTCCTTGATAGAGCTCGATGGTGAAAGTGCTACCAGGAAACAACCTGTTATCTTTCCACATATGAAAACCGCGTAAAATAGTATTACCACTTGTCTGGAAATCAAAGGCATCTACAGAAGAATCCTCCACAGAATGTAAAGAAACCACGTGAGAATAATGTCTTCTGTAGGACCTTCGAACTATTGGATAATACTCTCTTGAACGCCAGCAGCTACAATCCACTGTGAAAAAAAATTAAGGTTTCCTTCTATTTTCTGAGTTAAGCATGTCATGCCAATAGGGGTAATCAACTTCACTGTCATTGGGGTAAGAAATTATTTCGATGACGGGGGTTTGAATAATAATCACTATGTCTTTTTGTTATAATATCTTGATTTAATTAATGGGAGAGATCGAGATGATGGCTAATTCAGTTTAAAAGCGGATCGCAATAGTCCTTTCATTGTTTTTGTAAGATGGGCATATTGCAACATTTTTGGTTAGCAGTTAATTAAAATTCCAAAAGACGAGTTCAGACTTAAGAATTAAAGCACCAAAAAGTTTTAAAAATTCTCTACCTGGAGGGATAAAGGTGTCGAGGCTTTCCAGAAGAACATCATCTGTAGAATCTCTATAGGGTGGCCAATACACGTTATCAACTCAAATGGTAAGATCTAATTATCATGTAAAACCTCTCACTGACGCAACACGACACTTTCTTTAGACACCTAACCCTTCCCAGACGATATTGGAGCCAACAGAAACATTATTACTTTTCCCTTCATTAAGAAAATGAGTCTATTTTAGATGAACATGACTAACCTCCTTTTTGTACTACCAGATTCATCCTAGTCCTCTTCACGCCCATGGCGTTCGTCACGGTACACTCATACAGTCCACTGTCAGTGGTACTCAGATTTTTTATAGTGAGATTTCCTTCCCATGCTTCGGTCCTTGCTGGAGGTAATGGCTGAAGAAGTCGTGTCCAGTTTGAAACTGGAGGAGGAAATCCTTCAGCTTGGCACGTTTCAAAAAAATCTGTGCTTTCAAGTGGCATAGAAACTGCTGGAGGTTTCTTAGTAAAGATTGGCGCCGCTACAAGAAAAGAGTCGCTTTAACATATCAGAAATTGTGACTGAGAAAGCGGCTCAGGGCTAAAATAGTTTGTTTTTTAAATTGTTTACCAATGCGGAGTTTTTCTTCTTAGTTAGCTACTAGTTTTTATCGTCGTTAGAATTCAAAAGATTTGTAATTTTTTTAATAAAAAAAGTTAGAAAAAATAGTTGATGAAAGTCACCTTACCTCTCACCGTAAGGTTTGCAAATGCCTCATCAGACCCCAAAGCACTCGCCGCAACGCAAGAGTAAAAACCAGTATCATTGAACTTCAGCTCGTTGATGATCAGTAATCCTTTGTCTATGGCATACTTTGATCCTGTCCATAGTATGTTCCCCTCAAATTTCCATGTGACCTTTGGTGCTGGATTTCCACCAACTGTGCAATTAAAAGCCATGCTTCCTCCTTCGTCGATTACAGCTGTGACTGGCAATAGAATAGCTTCCGGCGCAGAAACCGTTCGACCGGGAATACCGGGAGGACCCGGAATTCCCGTCACACCAGAATCCCCCTTTTTTCCCTTTTCTCCTCTAGGTCCTGGACCTCCCATTGTTCCCCGTATTCCTCGATTCCCGGGAATCCCAACATCTCCTTTCGGGCCTGGCTCCCCTCGGTCGCCTTTTATTCCCCTTGGTCCAAGGGGACCCATCATTCCTCGCTTGCCGTGAATTCCAGGTAAGCCAATATTACCTTGAATTCCTTTTTTTCCTTTTGTCCCCTTCGGCCCCCTCCTTCCACGAGGTCCCTTCGGACCTTTTCGACCAGGACTTCCGGGGGGACCAGCGGGACATACCTTCTCATTTGATCGGCAGTATTCACTTGGAAGGAATATTCCCAATTGGAAGGCGATCTCGCGACGTAAATCTTCAATAGCTAAGCTCGCGGTATTATTGCCTGTGGCACTTCTACGAAATCTTTGAGCAGAACCTTTGGAAGACTCCCCATAGGACTCTAAACTCAATTAAGAAAAAATTGGTGGCTAGCAAATATTTCTATGCGAGAACCTAGGTATCCTGAACTTAATATCCGCGATAAGTCATATGTAACCACAGGCGGCCTAAGCGTACCATTTACATGAATATAACTTATAAATTAAGATTGAATTTTAAGCGTAGGTGTGTGGCGTAAAGAAAAGAGGGAAATAATAACAAAATCGAAAAAATAAAAAGGATAATAAAAGCGAGAATTATAACGTTTTAAGTCTCCCAACCTTTCTTCCCTAGCTGCCTCGTCACTTCTGGCCGTTTTAACGCTATTTTGTCGACTGACTTTGTGCCGCGTGATATGCTGCTACAAGTGACGCCCGTTATTGCGGGCACCCTCTAGGGGGAAATTTAGTGTCCGTAATAGTGAGAGTCCGTAATAGCGGGTTCGAGAGGAAAAAAATTGTTTGTCTTTAAACATCTGAAATCATATGTATCTACGTAAACATAAAGTTTCTAACGTGGCCTCATGAACCGAAAAAAGATCCGGCCGCAAGACGGAAATCGTCATGTTCGCACCCAATTGAAGAATAGTTTCTTTATTTTCCTTTCTCGAAGTACTCCTTTAGACGAAGTACTTAAAAATCCGCTAAGGTGAGAGAAAAACAAATTGAACTGTTGCGCTGGGGAGGGGTGAGGGGCATAAAAGTGTCCATATTTTCATAGTAGCGAGAGTCCGTAATAATGTGAGTTTGTATCAGTCATTTCTTTATGCGTTTCGTCGGGGGGCTGGCTCCTGTCCGCAATGGCGGGTGTCCGTAATAGCGAGGTGTGCGCAGGGCCAAAGTCGATTGTATTTACTTAGTATTCCCGTTAATGACTTACTTTTAAACCTCAAATCACACAGTATGCTTCATGAGCCGCCTATGACGTAACTTTCAGAATAATTTTTTATGATCCATCAACTATCTTGTTTGCGTGCAATCGCTCTAAACGCATTAGGTCAACTACGATGTAATGATGTTGCATCAATATATAGTGTATTATGCATACCAATGCCTTAAAACGCTTTACAACACTTTGAAGGGGGGTCTGGCAAGACTAAAGATTACAGACTAGTGAATACTCAAAAACTTAAACTAGGAACTTTTTGGTGATATTACCCAAGTGACGTTCCACGATTTTCAAAAAATCATTTCCATTTCTTTGTTCAAAAGTCAATTTAAGATGATGGGGAGTTTTTCTGATGTAGCATCGCCGATTGCTTTTTAACTCCACCATCAAACAAAGCTCGGAAAGCCTTTCGGGAGTTTGTGAGTACAAAACCCCTTCTTCTCTGCCAGACGCTTTTGGCAGATGTCATTTCGCTGTTTGAGATGATCCGGTTATGGGTCAGTGAAATTAACAATAGGTCAGAAATATTAGGAAACTAGGTAATGTAAAATGCGTAGATATCCGGTATAACTGACTTCTCCGACATTGTGAATATCTAAACAAGATATTTTCTTTCTTTGAGTCTGGAGTCAGAAAATGCAGTTTCATTTAAAATATCATAAATTTCCCGCAAAAACAGATTATTTGAATTTGAATCCCAAAATTCGCACTAAAATATTTGACACGATCATGTCCCTTAAAATATCGAAGGTCCTAAATCCTAATTAATTAGTTTTTAGTTCGAGTTGGACTAGTATTTCTGCTCACAAGAAATAGATAGAGGCCAAAAATATCGTAGGTAACATTTTTTTTTCAAGTGCAGTTTTGTATCCATTATCGCTAGATTATTCCTCGATTCAGTGTGGTGCCTTCAGAGCAACACATAACACCTTCAGCAATTAATCTTTAAACTAACCTGATGAAGAAAGTCGAGACTGCGGTGGCGTCATTCCACGTCGTTTGTTCTTCTTAACGCCGAGTGTTACGACCATCTGTCCGCTTCGTGCAGCTTTCATCTCGGGAGCGATGCATTCCTTTGTGAGACTGATGATCTTTTGTTCCAGCGCGAACAGACGATCATTTGTTGCGTCATTCCGAAGGAATAGAATTCCAGAAATGAACAGTAAGAAGATGGACAAATACGAAGGCCTTAAGTGAGGAAAGAAATCTCGAATGCGATGATCCTTTGAGGTTTCCATTCCTCTTTCAATCTGCGACCGTTGTGGACAAATCGTGAGCGATGATACAGGTCTAAATGCAGTCCGTAATATTCCAGCTGCTTCTGACATTGGATATGTGGTAAGTCATGTGAGGTTGTTTAAATCAATACACTCTTTTTTTAAGTCTGATCTACCTGGGGCCTGAATGTTTTGTCTATAAGCCAAAAAACGGATGGGATAGCGAGATCAAAACAAAACTGACGATGAAAATATGAAAAGTTTATTTGATGCTGCAAACTTGTGTAACCAACATTTAAAATCTTCCTTCTTTTTCTAATTGAGTGAACAGACCTTTTTTGTTTTGTACTAAAAGCCTACACGATGTTCGCTTTATACAGGCTCTTTTAAGTAGCAAATAGTGTTTTGATCTGTGATCCCTCTCTGAAATTTCGAACTGACAATAAGTCAAAGATATATGTCAGTTTCATAACAATGACTGTCATGCGGTGGCTCCGTCATAATGGAGAGCTAAGGAAATACTACGACTGCAAATACGGTTATCAGCACCAATAACAATTTTTTAAAATTATTATTCACCAAAGTGGAGGTGAATGTTAGTCGATATTTACTTAGCCGCGAAGCGTTGAGGTATTCATCCACCACTTTCAACGACACTGAGATGAATAATTGTTTTAGTATATAACACACGGATAAAAACATTCCCAAAAATGACCGGAAATTTAACTCTTAACGCGCGATTTGTCTCGGAGGTAAATAGTACTTGCTATCCATTTCCAAATTAGCCAATCATCACGCGCGAAAAGCACTATTCACCTGTGTTGTGTATATTTATTGTTGATTAATATTTACACTGCCACTGTATAACATGACCTATAAATTAAAGTTCTCCTTAGTTAGAAATTTCTTTATGCCTTTTTTGTCATTTATCATCATTAACATTATTACTATTGTCTTTGTTTCTTTTACAAAATCAGTTTAAATCATAGCTAAATAACACTACATCATAAAACTTACATTACAGCATGTTTTCTTAACAGTTTTACTACCAAATACTATACATTGTCCTCCACAACGAACATTACTGACTCACAGTAATAATACCACAGTTAGTTGCCCATATTTTTGCCTTAGCTAGTTGACCATATTGAAAGATTATAAAAAGTTTTACTCATAACGTAATTAAGAAATACACAAGTTAATCCAAGATTGACTACTGTAACAGGTACTTATTGAAATTACTATTAAAGAAAGAAATATAGATGTCTTTTAATTTAAACTTTTCGGGTCAGATATTAAGGCCAGTTGCATCTTTAAAGAGAAAATCGATGAGAAACATAATATTTGTTTGCCTTGCGTAACTCTCTGAGCGGAGGAAGAGCTTGAGAAGGACGGTTGTCGGTAATGGCTGATATCCTCACTCAGACGATCTCATTGAACATTACAACTGACGTAAGGCACGACAACTGGAATTCTCTTGGAAAATTAAAAAAAAAGTTTTTCCTTTTTTCGTTCTTGAGCCCATAGATTTCTCAAGTTATGATCCAATATGTAATAATCGCGTTTTACTAACCTAACAATCTTACGTATGACTTCATAAGGAAAACGACCAACAGGCTACAAAATTCAATTGTTGTAAACGGGTCACGTCTCAGATTAGGCTTCATCTATTTACCTTATTTAGGCTTCTTCTCTTTATTTAATTAGATCAGACTTCCATCTTATTCATAAATTTCGATTAGTAGTGAATCTATTTTTGACATTGCAGGGAACGGAAAATTAGAGCCGGTATTTGGCCTCTAGATACACTAGATGAGTTGGAGTCTTTTGAAGATTTTTTAAAGGTAACTGTAACCTTAGAACATGACGTACTTGACATACCATTCTCGAGATAATAAGTTAGTTTATTTGTTACTATCTTAGCTGTTGCAGTGTAACTAAGACCTGCTCGAATAGAAATTCCCTGTAAAAAATACACTTTGAACGTCCTGTCAGAGGCTCTGGTGGAGTAGGACCCAGTCCTCTCGCCAATCAAGGTACCTTCCTGATACAATCGAATGGTGACCTGGAAAGTAGTTGAACCGCTGTAGACTCCCCAAAGTCGATATCCTTTCAGAAGAACATCACCACTCGTTTGGAAATCGATAGCGTCAACTCTTCCTGGAGAGGTGGAAGATCCGATGGAAGAGTATGACCAATCTCTACTAGAACTTTGAGGCCTACGAGTTCGCCAACAGTCACAATCTGTATGATAAAATAACATTTCAAGACGAGAAGTTAATAACAACTGTAGGTTACATAAATAATAGTAACAAGTAGAAAACAACAAAAGCAACAGAAATAGTCAATAGCGTCCGAGCTGGATCGACGATGAGCTCTGATCGATGTCACTTGTATGATTTTATATAACGTGCTTGAGTGAATTTTCATCACTAAAGGGGAGATTTCGGTTGCTGTGGACGAAATTGTTTCTCTTCCATGAAAGTGCTAAGAAGGAAGAGGATATAGAGGAGGAGTCTCTCAAATTGGAACCGACCATTCGAGATCCAAGGTTACGTCAGCAATCACAGTCGAGTGAGTGAAAAGAAAAATCAAAATGAGCGGTAAAATTGAAGGAAATCGAAATTTATAGTAAACAAAAATGATCTCTATTCATATTTAGGACTTTGAGGTGTGCAGGTCTCATCAGTAATCATAACTCAGTAAAACGCAACGTCAACGTGAGAATGAAAATAAGAAAAAGAAACAGTAATAGAACCACAGCAATTGATATAATAATAATGGTAACAATAATGATAACAATAAAAAAATAATAATGACTTATTATAACATTTACACAACATTTATTTCTTTTATTATCTTCTCCACCTTTAAAGTTCAAGAAGTAAACGTAAACGAAGCGTGCATCCGTTAGTTCTTTCTTAAATTTTTATTAAACATTTTAATGTATTTTTCGATTTTTAAGGAATTTATCATAATCTTTGTAAATATTTTTAGGGATTATAGCAAATAAAGAATATAAAATAATGATAATAGTAATGATGATGATAATAAGAATGATTATAAGATGATAATAATAGTAACGATAATAATGTTAATAATAATGATTATAGTAATTCAGGGTATTGATAAAAGTGTTAATAACGATACTGATAATAGTAACAATGATAATGACAAAAAGTAATGATAACAGTAGTAATAATAATAATGATAAAAATAATGAAATCAAACAGACCATCAAAATGAACATGTGAGGAAGTGGAAGTCACATGAATAGCTAAAATTTTTTTATGGGTGAACCTTTGTGCATACTTTTATCCAGGTTTGAAGTTACTTGCTCCTTTTAGGTTTGCAGAAGTGCTTAGATGATGGTCGTTTCTAGCTCCTTGATTTATTGTATCATGTAGTTCAAGTATCAAGGAGGGAATGTTGCTCTAAATTGTTGAACGCTTACAACTGACAGTGAGGTCATTACGTGAAAATATCACACTGAAGACCTGCTGCACTGACCAAGCGATACGGCCTAGCTGAGGTTTTAGAATTCGTGGTAACGACCCGACGGTGCTTTATCATATTATGGCTTATAAACGGTTTTGAAGAGGGCGAAACATTCGATCATGGTCGAGCTGCGTATGGAAGTCAGTAAGCTATAACGTATTCCGAGTGAAACTATATTCAAATTCGGCGGGAGACTTAAGCACAGCCTAAGCCATTTTGTCAGACGTCAGTGAACCAGTCATTAAGAAAGTTAGTCTGTCGAAAAGTCTGTCACCAAGCAAATGCCGAGGCTATACAAACCTTTAAGCAGCAGTTGTCGTTGCACTGCCACGTTCATCTTTGTTTTCGTTGTACCCATGCTGTTTGTCGCTCTACATTCGTACACTCCACTGTCGGCAGGACTCAAGTTATTTATAGTTAGGCTGCTTCCACTGATCGTAGTCTTCCCTGCAGGGAAAGGCATTCCTAGTCTGGTCCAGTTTATGGAGGGACGTGGAAACCCTTTAGCTTGACATGTCTCGTTCAACGTGGAATACTCTTTTGGCGTGATGACAGACGGTGGTGGAGAGATCAAAATGGGAAGACCTACATGAAAAAAGAAAATAGAAGAAAATATACTGCATGTATGATTAGAAAAAACTGTAATTGATGAACCTCTACAGAGGATAATCTATTCAGGCTCACCGGAAACCTCTTAACAATTAAGAGAAGGGTACGAAGGGTCGTATAAGTTTCTTTCCAATTCCTTTTCGGAATTGTCCCCATACATAATCTTAATGTGAAATGGCCAGGCAGTGTAATCTTCGGTTTGGGGTATTTTCAACGCTTGAGGACCGAAATCCTTAAAACTTACATATTTTACTGTTAAATCAATCCTTTTCTCGTTGTCAGCAATATAGGAACGTTTCAGACAAGATATCAAATTTGGCTATAAAATTCTTACCTCGAACAGTTAAATTTCCTGACCCTTCATGCGATCCAAGGATATTAGTCGCAGCACAAGAATACCGTCCAGCATCACTGTAGTTCAAACGTTTAATGGTCAATGCTCCATCGTTGACCACATATTTAGAGCCTGAAATAAGCTTCCTGCCCCTAAACTTCCATTCAGATCTGGGAGGTGGATTCCCACTAATCGAGCAATAAAACTTCACATCCTTTCCTTCATCTTGAGTCTGTTCAGCAGGTGATATCGTGACTTGTGGGGCAGATATTGACTCTCCAGGACTACCTGGTGGTCCTGGCATGCCTCTCGAGCCTGGCTCTCCCTGGTCTCCTTTTTCCCCTCTCGGTCCAATAGGTCCAGCCATTCCTGGCTTTCCATGCCTACCTGGTGGACCCATATTACCTTGTAGTCCTCTTTTCCCTTGTGTTCCCCTCCTACCACGTTTCCCTTTCGCACCTTGGACGCCAGGGCTTCCGGGGGGGCCTGCTGGACAGACTTTTTCGGTTGACTTGCAATACTTTGTGGGAATGAGCTGTTCAAGGTGCTTGGCGATTTCATTGCGTACGTCATCAATTGTGATAACATTTGAAACATGCCTGCGAGTCCTTGTGGCCTTGGTAATTTTGTCCCGCCCGCTTTCACCTTAAAGAAATGAATTTACCTCCTATTTATATTGAACTGATATTTGATTTAGCGTGCAGATGACAATATTATCATTACAAAATCAGATGAGTCCACCAGGCTACTATATTGTCAAATGTTACGCACAGTTAGTAACTGTGCGTAACATTTCTGAATAGGACTTACTGAGGGATACTGCAAAAAAATCAATAGAATTATGTGTGAACTAAAAGACAAAAACAGAAATGAAAGAAGTCCTTGGAATCAAATACAGATAGATATAAACAGTGGATTAACTGAATGAAAATAAATGAATTATCATGATTTAATTTTGGAAATATTACGCAGTCTATTTGCTGCCAACTAACTACAGATAGCATGAATTCGATCCTCATAAACTCAGCCACTGTTCGACTTGATTTATCGGTTAAAACTTAGTCATGACTACAGCTGTCAAGAACACTTCAACTTATAAATCAAAGCAAACATTGATGACCTCGGCCTCAAGCCGACGAAAGCACCTTTGTAATATCTGTTTATACGTCCTGTGGATGAAGAGCTGCTGACACTTTCGAGCTGACAGGAAAATGAAGTGAAGCCAATGCTCATGCTGAGCTATTTAAAGCATTTTGCAGACGAAAACCAACAACAGTTGACTGTATGTTGCGCTCAAGTTACGCGACAAGTTATATGATAACACAGTTCATGGCTCGATTGCCCAACTACGCCACTGCGTTCTCTCATTAAGGTTGCATGCAAGTTTGCATCAGCCATATGGAAAATATAAAGTTTCGAAAATACACTTCAAGTTTTGAGCGTCGTTGGATACTGACCTTCTCCTCTAGTTGGCACAATCAAGAGATTAAAATGGATATAGCGTTATCAAAGAACACATTCAATTTAGATTCTTACTTCTACTTCTCCTGCTGATCATCAAAATAAAAGTTATACCAAATGTTTTGCAAATTTCTCTACCTGAGGGATAATCAAGCTTCTTTGCAACAGGAGTCTTGATCCTCCTGGCAAAAATCTGATCAGGATCCAGTTGCGGCTTGACGGACATTTCGTTGCGATTTGCATAAGAGCCACTCTCAGCACAGCTCTGCTTCGTTGACAAAACCTTTATCTGTTTTTCCAACGCTAACAAACGATGGTTTGTAGATTCGTTCCTCAACAGAAGGATTATGCACACAAAGACTAAATTGAGAGACAGATAAGAGGGTTTCACAGAAGGAAAAAGATCGCGAGTGCGATACGCTTTGGAGGACTTTGAGTTCGACTCCATTTTCTTGCCTCTTCTGTCTGTTGCGATTCAGTGAAACAGGAACACGAAGGTCAATGAAAATCTGCCAAAAAATTTGATCCTCTTTGAACGCGTCTGGGCAAAGCATTGATTAAGATCATTTTACGGGTTTCTCTGTATGACAATTGGTTAACAAATTACCGTTAATTTGAGAAACTCAAGCTCCACAGAATTCTCTCTATGTCCGCACACAGGAAGTTTACGAAATTTCCCTGTAGGAGCAGGGTAAGATCAGACATACCTTCGATTAACTGAAGGAAGGCAGGCGTTTGCCTTATCAGACTTTATCATAAAAAAAAAAAAATTTTTGCATGTTACAGACTTTTCTACTGCACTAAACTACTGTAAAAAAATATTAGCCTCTTGACAGCTAGAGATCAAATGAGCTTACCAGTCAAAGAGCCCATCTTGCTGGCGTTTATCCCAGGTTCAGGGCATAATATCCCGCCCTTATCCGGTGCAATTTATTTATGGTTTTTGGAGTATCTTAGTTGTTCGGCATTCCGGCACTCGACAAACAATTGAGTTCTCATCCTTTGCGATTTCAGGGTTATAGCTACTGACAAATTATGTTATCATCCTTGTTCTTGTTGTGGCTACTGTCTCTGATATGATAGGAGGCGAAACCAGTAGCGTACGATTTTTTATTTTGTACACTAACGTACGATTTTTGGATTTTTGACACTGCTGTCCGAGTTTGGATTCTACATGCTAGTGTCCCATGCTGGATTTTGGACACTCTGATTTTGGATTTTATACACGTGTCCTATTTTGGATTTCCGACGCTACAGTCCGATCTTGGAATTTAGATAAAAGTGTCCCATTTTAGATTTTGGACACTAATGTCCGATTTTGGATTTTAGAGACTAGTGTTTGGATTTTTAATTGTGTGAATACATGGGATGCGATAGGTTTTCTGTTCTGCATGCGATCATAAATCTTTTACAACACTATCTTCCTCCAGTTCTTTTCAATGCTATAAAAATTGTGCTATTTCAGTAGTTATATGCGGTCTTAGACTTCCTGTTTTTTTTCTTGCTCGCCCGACCAAGTCTTCATCGCAGTTGTTGTAACACAATACACTCTCTTATGCGTTGCGTGACAAAACCAAACGATCGGTTGCGGAGGGGGTTGGGCCAGACAGAACACTTCAACGCCGGGATCAAACGAAAAGACGACTGAACAAATAGAAATACTTAAGAAAAAATTTTTTTATATTTTATTCCACTTAGTTTGCAAGAACATACAAAATACTAAGTATTTATCCAACATTAATTTTGATTTTATAAACTGCTCATGACAAAAGATTTATTTTAGAAAAAAACATATGCAACAAGTCGCTAAAATTTCTGTCTATAAAAATAAATATACCAGACGTAAGAAACAGAGCGATGCTTTAAACGTGTTAAAAAATTTACTCTTTGAAATACTCACCAGTATGTTATAGAAAGTTATATTTTTATAAATGAGTAAAAGATGGAACAAACTTAAATATCATAAACAATTTTTGGTTAAAAAACTGAGTCTATGCATTACTACCTGTAGCTTGATTTCTGAATACTCCGAAAGTGTTGTTACATCAAAGTTACAGGCAAATTTCTTGAATAAAGGGGGTAAGTTTCTAAAGAAGCTGTGGTGTTGCGTCGGGGGGGGGGGGGGGGTTGGTGTGAAGTAGTATGACCTACTGAACTACTGTTAGCGTCAACTATGATACAACGTACAACCTTACCATCGGACTCAACACCTTTGAGATTTTTTCCCTAGTTGCACCAGGTTGAGATATTTCACTACCCTTGACAAGTTCTTTTTATATCAATAAAAATCGCTTAAAATATCCTAAAAAAGAAACATTCACTACGTTACTCTAAAATCACTGCGCTTTTAATTAGTTTTCTATTTTGATCCAGAACTTAGACCAAGAACAGAAACAAAACCTCGTGCAGTTGGGTAATACGCCTATACCCCATCCTCGTCTTCACTGAAACTAAAGAAACATCTTTGGAGAGTCGCTCCGTATTTCAGGCTTAAGCTTCTCAGTTTATCCCAACAAATGACCTACTTAATATCGAAAACCACTGCTTCTTGGAGGCGGTGCAGAAACAGGTCTCTGTGGTTGAGGAAATTTAGCATTTAGCCAATCTTCGAACTCCAGTTCTGACATCTCTACAACCTTCTCACGGACAAACTGTCAAAATCAAAATGAAACAAAAATAGTAAGTAATTCTGGGTACTGATTGATAAAGATGAATTTTTAGGATCAGATTCTGGGATAAAGATAAAAATAGTACTTTGTGAAAGAAACTAAACTAAAGCTTTACTTTGATTGGCCCAACACCAATTTAAACAACATGAGAGTAAAGTTAAGACATTTTATTTTCGATGGTCACACAATTTGGCTTCAACCAAAGATTAAACAACTTAAAACTGAGTAATTTTCAAGATGAAAATAGATAATACACTCTCTTTCGTGTCAGAAGATCCCCCCTCACTCAGAAATATCCACATTGTTAAGATTTAGTTACCTCTATAGCTGCATTTATATCAGGAGCACAAATTTCCCACACTCGAAGCGTCGATAGCACCTTCAGGAATTGACTACCACTTATCTTTCGACCTTCAAGCTTAAAAAAAAGTATATGCTGTTATGAACAATACATTGCTTGTTTCCCCGAAAATATATCTTAAGCGAAATTGACGGGGTAGTCGACCATAAAATTGAGTCTAGTCCGGGTCCGAATCCAACGGGGAACATATTATTTCGTTGCCTCGCGCTTATGACTAATGCTAAAAATCTTCGTTTATCATAACATCTTAGTCAAGGTAACTCGCTCAACGAGAACCCAATATCTACGCGGTCAGAACGCAGTGATATTGGGTAAAGAGAAACCGATGCAAAGAAAAATTGCTTTATTATTATTTTACTAAAACAAGGTTACTCCTTAATCCGGAAAATGACAAAAGAAAGGGAAGGTTAACATACCCGACAATTTTCACCCCTCTGGCCATTAAGTAAACGTCGGCCATTTTTGACGTGTTCGCCAATCATACGTGGAATTATACACAAGAAGAATACGAAATGCCATTGTGGCAGCATTATGGTGTTACCTGACACCATCTTAAAACACTTACCGAGCCATAACCAGCAATCTTGTTTAACACCAGTGTACAGCAGCGATCAGCCCTCACCTCTTGAGGTAAATTGCTTAGTAAGTCCTTGTACCTAATATCAATAAATAAATAATAACGATTTTAGTGTTTATGCAAACTCGCCCTGCCTCTCAACACAAGCACAAAACAATTAAAAGAAAAAAAAAAAAAAAAGGTATCAGATGTGTATCAGACCAAAACCGGTCAAGGCCAAGCCACCAACGTTTTCCCGCGCTTCAGGGTAGCGACATGTGTTTGCTTGGACTCTCATTGGCTCCCCTTCATATTTTTCTCTATTCTGATTGGCTACCGTGATTATTTCAGTGCTGAGTTTAAGAAACTCATTTAAAAGGCGCAATCCACCATACGTAGCCTTAAGGGATAACTCAGATTATAATTAATAAAACAAAACTAAAAGTCTGGTATGACTGGGCAGGCGATTGCACCACAAAGTAAAAAGGTCAAATTAGTGAGAACAATTCGTGAGTGAGAGGTGTAGTAAAAGGATGAGACCGTAGTTATAATGTTATGTGTGCCGAGTTTTTCCTTTCAACAAAAATTCTTGACGGTTTTTGCTTGAGTAGTAGTTTTCATTATTACAAATACTCATACAAGTATTCCTTTATTTTACCTGTAGTATAACTAGCTATTCAATTACTTATAAAGATGGTTAGCTCCAAGAGAGTATATTTCATGTGCAGATGATTTGATCAAAGGACAAAAAAATTAATGTTTGTGAAAACAGTTGATGTACAAACCATTTACATTCCTCAGTGACTCGCTGCCGCATCTCTTCATTCGTTTCTGTGTCGGGTAATACACTGCCACTTCTCATCTGATCCAGAGCTTTGTAGATGTTGTTAAATGTCTCCAGACACATCAGTTTACGTTCCAATACTTGCAGTCGAGTCCTAAATAAAAAAAACTTTGGGTTAAATTAAACTTAAACGTTACAACTTTTTCTCTTATCTTTCATCCACCTCTTGGTACTGCACCTTACATCTTACACCATTAATGAGCACCCAAGACATCTCACTGCCCCGCGAGAAAACCGGATCTCAGTGACAATACAAAGAGCAGTGGGGTAAGGTGCAGACATTTTCTCCTCATTCACGAGCTTCTCACCCCACCCCGTCAAGGTTATCAGAGGGTGAAGAGCCTGCACATGGTCTACTTACACGAAGACAAAATAAACAACAATAACAACAACAACAACATCATAGTTAAAAAAAAACAACAACAATAACAACTAACCTGTCCCTAACTTCCAAGTTATCGTGTAATACCAGGGCTTTCTCGTCTGCTACTTCGTTGAATTTCGTCTTCAAGTCAATTGGGACTTTTTCCACGCGATGGTCTAAGCTTATGGCTCCAAATGCTGCGATCGCTGCCGCTGCAAATCTTGAAGAGAAATAAATTATGTTCAACTAAGGGATGCAGGGTCACTGCCGCAAGTCTACTTTCAGTTAATTAAAAATCGAACCTGCATGGAAACTACAAGTCATGATTGATTCCGATACGAACAAACGGTTTATGGATTTGTGCAAATGTATGGTTTGCTTTTTTAAAAGCAAACACACAAACAACCAAAAAAAACTAACAGATTCACAGAGTCTGACAAGCAAATGAGCTGATAAGACGGTTGTAAAAAGAAAATATAATTTCGTACCTCTTGTTATTCACTGCACCTGGAAAGAGGAAAATTCAACGGTTCCAAAAGTTAGATAAAAAGTCGTAGGGATCACTTTAAAACTTGTGATATGCACACAATTTAATTGGTCACATTGACATTACTAACAACACACTACAGCGCGTGCAGATTTTTCACAGACAATTAGACATTTTAAGAAATATAAACAAGCTTCCGAATAAAACAAGAAGCTAGGAGCAGTTAATTACCATACAATACAATACAATTCATCGAAGTCAGTCCGATAATATATGATAGTCTTTTTATCAGTCCACTCACCTGTAGCTTGTACCCAGGCCCTGACACGCGAATCGGTGGAAGTTTGTTGTTCCTCCGGTTTCGACGTTAATTTTTCCAGTTCCTTTTGCTGAAACAAAGGTTTATCTTTCTGTTATTGAGCTCCGATACCTGATAACAACCACAGTTGTACCCGCTTCGACCACTGAATTCAACTATACCTGTCCAGGTGATTCATGTACGTTAATGACGACATAGTTGAAAATGACGATGACGATTTTAGTAATAACGACGATAATAGTGATTTGAAAAGGAACCGAGGCAAGTAGGAGGAGAAGAAGGAAGAAGATAAAGATGAGAGTCAGAGGGGCGACAGGCCAGAACGGGGAATAGAGGGGAAGGAGATAAGAAAGATGGTAAAAAATTGAAATGTAAGGTATTTGTCTTTTTCTTCCTCAGTCTGTCGCTTGCAAATTGGTTTCTACAGTTTGCCCACTGCCAATTTACACGGCACTAACGAATTGGAGAGTATTCGAAATGTGGAATGGCGGTGAAAAAAGATATCACTCTTGTCAATGGTCATTTTGAAATGTATCGCTTTTTCAGTAGCGCTGTCTCGAGATCGAAATTTTACAAACAGGCCACTAGCGAAAACACAATTGATGATATTATTCAATATGCAAAATAAGGGAAGATGTTTATGTAAGTTTGTTCCTCTCCAGTGTTTTCTACGCGCAAGGTAAACCCTCGCGAGGCGTTGCTTTAACGGTCTTCTAAGTTAGAATGATACTTAGGTATTCAGAAGTAAATGTACGAACGCCAGTTGTATTACTCACCGATAATGTGCTCTTGAATGCCTTTGCAGCCCTTGTCTTGGCCCGTAACTTCTGCATGGCTTTACTGGGGTTTGACGGTGGAGTGTACACTGTAGTTACAGTGAACGATTTCTGTTTTTGAAGCTTCGATGGTGGCGCCTTTTTGTCGGTACCGGACTGTGTTCCGTTCTGAGGGGTGCTAGATATAGTTACTGGTAATGCTTCTGCTGCGACTGCTGGATCCCCCACTGGTCCAGGAGGGGCTGATACAGCTCTTATCTTTGGATCTATAAATTTCACAGTGGGCCCTACGTCCGTGGAGAAAGGAGAAAGAGGTGGTCAGATGAGGAAAAATTGCTGAGTACAGATAATCATATGATAACTGCAAAACAAAACACAAAACACTAATAAATAAAATAATAAAAAAATAAAGAATAAAACATTTTTAAGCACAAATATCTTGAAACTAAAATATAGCATGAGGCCGTCTTCTTTATTCAGGCTTTGTGCCACAAAATCTTGATTCTTACGCCCGCGGCCGCTTGATAGACATGTCCAGATATCGGAAGAAGAATTTGTTACCTGAGCTAATATCCGCGCAATAGTCTTCTTGATTTTGTCATGTTATCAGTTTTTACTTCATGGCGGTTGTATACCTCAATAATAAGGTCTAAGATTCGCTCCACTATTCAATCCTCTGGATCAACAAATGCTCAACAGAAGTTAAGGGCCCTCTACTTCACTCTACGAGCAGCACCTGAATAATTATGCCATATTTCTAAATAACAAAAACTTTACCAATATTTGGCGCATTGCTTTGAGTTTCGCTACCACTGTCTTCTTTGTGGGGAACCCTCTGATCAACAGACGCATGCTCTGTTTGTATTTCCGTCCGCGATGACGCCATAGTCTCTCCCGTGTTACTCGTGCCACTCCTGGGTCGAGCATCTGCTGGAACACGAAGGGAAGTGGGTCCAGGCGTGGGGGACTGGCCACCATTGTTTGTCGTTGAAAACCGTTGAATGAAATTTGGGTGGATTGAGATGCGTCTCGTGCCTCTACGAGTTCCACGCTGTAACAAAGAACATAACCAAATAGTAAGAAAGGTTTCGACATTGCAGATCCAGCAATATACAAGGACACTTAGAAAATATTACCCCATCGTTAGGCTTAACTCACCAAAGAGTTATCTGTAGCTCACATTAGTTTACCTGTGTGAATCGCGCTGGGTTTTGCTTGAACGTTACCCAATCTTTATCGGTAGCCTTGTCTTTTTCCACTCTTCTTCGAATGGCTCTTGGGTCTTCGTTTAAATCCCTAAATAGCGAGCAACTCTCATTAAATTTTGTGAAGGGAAATGGGTACGAAAAGGGGTGGGGAGGGAAGAGACAGGCAATGCAGATGTCAGTTGATTACCGACTTACTTTAGTTTCCAACAACTTGTTATTGGGGGCATTACAGGAGGCTGTTGATCCTGAGACATTCCTTCCAGGATCCAATTCAACGCACAGAGCTGACGGAAGACGTTCTTTCTGTAGAATGACACAATAACGCAGTAAGCAGAAACGTTAAAAACGTTGGTTCAAGGTAAACGCATTACATACTGTAATTGGGGAGGCACAAGTAGAACTATCCATACACTACATTTACAAAGGCAGCTCAAATTCGGCATTCCATTAAACTTTTACAGCCGTTAGAAGACGATCTAGTGCTTTGCAAAATGCTCTGAATACTGCACCTAAAAAATTTGCGATCTAGCAAAACGTCCAGGCACAGCTCAGATCATGAAAAACTCCAAGGCAGAGCTTAAACCAAAAATCATCGCTGGATCTTCATGCGCTTCACTTTTCCTATTCTTAATGATCATTTCAAGATTTACTTCAACTTTGGCCCTACAACACTTAATCTAGCTTGTCCCAAGAGTTCAGTTAGTAAAACGGCACGGAATAACAAATGGTGCGATACAAGCGGCGTAGTGGAAAAGCGAGGGAGGTTTGCACCTCTTTGTAACTATCGATACTGAATGCGTGGAGCAGGCTATAATCAATCAAAAGCCCGCGTACCAAAAAAGGTATATATTCTTGTAGAGATTTTACCTGTCTGTGACATCAGTATAGTTGATGTTTGAATAAACTGGTGAGTAAGGCCGGGGGCTTTTCAGCTTTTTGGATCTGCGGCTACTTTTCGATATTGTACTGTGGGCAGCTGACTTGGGTGGTTGGAGATAAAACCTGTGGGGGAGGGTGGGGCTGGACGGTGGACTGTCCATCACGTGATCTGTGTCTGGCTGCTCGGCAGTTGATGATCTACGAGAGGAAAGACATTCAAACCACGTTTTGGCAGGAACGGATTTGACGAAAATATGACAGTACACGTGCGCAGGTAATTATATGGGATGTGAGCGTAATGTCGCACAATATCATAATTCCTTTTAAACTCTGTAGTATTTGGACTTGTTAAAGAGCCGATGAATATAGGCTTCCCTTGAATTTCCGCCCTATTCGAGTTCCGTTATGGTTCCCTACGAGTTAATCACAATGTCCCCCACCCCCCCATAAAATCTCCCTCATCTCTAATTATGACCAACTTATGAAATTATCGAAATTCCTTAGGCAATTTTCAGGATTCGTTCGGAGATCTTCGGCTATTTTTTAAATTCGTTGGTGACATGGATTATCAAACGTTTTAATTTCCAAATTTTTTGCCTAGCTTACCTGTCAAAACTTGTTGACTGAAGTTCATGGCTGTCGTTACTCAAAAGACAGTCCCTTGCTATAAGATTTCATACGATCTGATTCCCTGCAACACTTTTGTCATTGTCAATTAATTACCTGTCAATTTGAAGCTGATCTGCAGTTGTTGACTGGGAGGGGCTTGGTGATGAGACCTGTAACTGAGGCTGAGGTGACTGTGGGCTCCACAACGCAGCACTGACTGTTGTACCTTAACATAACAAAAATCAGGTGAAAATTAGCTAATTTATACCTTTTTTTGTATAATCTATTTAATTTGTTGGATAATTTTACTGAAAAATTCTTTATTTTTGCATCTGCATGTTCTTTGGGATGTCGTGTCATGCTTCTCTCAAGAAAGGGGTACGGGTGTGTGAATTTCCAAAAGAATTACTGATAAGGATACTGCATGTTGAACAGGATATGCAAGACATGGCTACAACATGCACTTGTAAATCACTTAAAGGAGATAAATCCTACTTACTCAGTCGTTTCCAACGTTTACTGCTGGCCGATGAGTGTGAACTGTTGGGTCTCTGTTGGGCTTGCTGTGGATCTAGGAGCTCTCCCAATCTGTGCATTAAACATGGAACAGAATCATTCCCATTTTAATTTGAAAATATAATCTCTACACAATTCATCATATGTCATAAATTTGCCAGGAAATAAATGAATCATGGAACATAAATGTAGACCAAAGGCAAACCAAACCTTATAACAAGTTCTGATTTATGCTGAGGCATATAAGGCAAAACCTGATTAAAACCTAATTGTACAATCAAAATGAAGGCTTTCAACTTAAGACACCTACCCTTGCTCAGAATCTCGGGTTGGACTGTTTGGTAGTGGGATCATATAGCTGGTAAATAAACAAAACATGATCATTATCATTTTGATTCAGACCCCACCCTGATCTCTAATTTTGATGTATATACCAGGAAAAAACATTTCATACATAGACTTAAGAATGCAGCATGTGAATTTAAAAGTTATGTTATACAGTTCTCTAGTTTTATGATGTAGTCTGACAGACACACCTTTTCAGTTCAATGTCTAAATCATCATCAGATTCTTCACTGTCAGTTGATGCTGGTTTCATCTGATTTCTGGCAGCCTCTTCTTTCTGTTTCCTCTCTTTATCAGCCTCAGCTTGCTAAAAACCAAGGAAATGTCACCGAAGGGTTCATTCTCACAAGCCTTTAATGGCTAAGTTCTGTAGTTGAAGTTTTTCCTGGTAGTTTTATAGCATGAAACAACTTGGAGTATTTAATATTTAATTAATATTCATCCTGGATTGAATATGCTGGTCCACTGTAGATTAACCCCTTCCCACTCCACTCCTCCCCCAACATTTTGTCAAATTTTCATGATAGTTTGTCAGTACCCATTTATACTCCTAAACAAAAAGAGGCACTGTGTGCATGAGGTCAACAATGAATATGAAAGCAATTTTCACAATAATAAACACTATCAAGCAGTAGTAGAAGTAAGCTAGGCCTATAAAAAATTCAGCTTAGCTGAATTTTAGCTCAGTTGTTCTACCAACTCAGCTAACATTTAGCCAACTGGGACCAGGACCGAGTCATTCAAAGCTGGGTTAAGATAACCCAGGGTTAGTATGAAGTTTTTTTTCAGATCTGAAAGCTTTAAAAGGAAATTCAGAAGAATTCTTTTAGTAAGTAATTTGATGATTGAATTCCCCACAAAGAATAGGTAAAATTATCCCACGTTGCTTTTGAACAAAGGAAAAAAGAGACCTGGATTTAATTTTATCCATTGGTTAGTGCTAATCAGCCTTCAAACAACTGGGCCCTGGTCATTACATTGGTTTGTAATAAACCTGTGACTTGATGAATCACACAATGTATCACAGTTTTTTCCCAAGAACACAACATGTTGACCCAGCCAGGTGCCAAACCCAGACCTCTTGACTCAGAGTCCAACACAGTAACTGTTAGGCAACTGCAAATTCTCCCTTTGATACATGACCCCTGCCAGGGTTCGTTAGAGCCCAGACCTCTTGATCTAGATTCAAGCAAGCCCTTAATGAAACTGGCCTGTGCATGACGTGAGCCAATCACACTAGCTACTACTTGCAACAAAAAATCATAACAAATCTGACAATACTACGTACCTTTCTGTTTTGTTCATCATGAACAAGCTTGTATAATCCAAAGCCAAGGCGAACAGCATGTATCATTTTCCTAACAGTGTTGAATGGAAAAATAGTTATGCATCATTAAATTAGACCATCAGATTGTAACATTATGATAACTGGATAATTAGACTATTACTAGTGCAATAAATTATAATTAATAAATTGAATTTACAGGATGCAAAAGGTAATTCAACAAGAATTTCCATTGATCATGAATACTAGAAAAAAAAAGCTCTTTTTCATGGCAAATGAAAATAACAAGTAAATTTCTTGTAAATAATTCATTATTTACCCACCTTCCTTTATGGACCTGTGCTCTGATGTCATTTATAACTTTGGGTTTATAGTTTGTTGGTTGAGGTACAACAGGTTGTTGATCCTTTAAAATAAAACAGAACAAATTAAAAAAAAATTAATCAAAAACACACAAAGTGGTAATCAACCGCAAATTGTCACTGGCAAACTTTTGATCTTCTCTGCCTAGGGCCAGCTTGGCAAGGCTAGGGCTCGTGAATTTGATATATAAATTAGGAATCTGGAAATGGATGAAACACTGTTGATAAAATCACAAGATAAGACCAACACAGTGTACTAGTAAGGGACGGGGAGGGGAGACATTAACTTAAGATGACAAAATATTTGGAAGTATGCAGGCCTCGAGAACATGTTTGCCTTGCATATTTATAGTTGCAACTTTAGCAAGATCAGATCTAGTTTCTAAACTGATCTTTGGATTGCCTGATTAATAATTTTCCACGGTTTGAATTTGAGAATTACAGCTAATCCCCAGTGAGATCTCCATGTGAGGATGGTCCTCTAAAGAACTTTTGTTTGTAAGAGAAACTAAGGTTTGGACAACTTGACTGAAAGTCAGAACTAAAGTTGTGTTTCCTGCATAAATTACAACAATGTTAACAAAATAAAATTAGAAAATTATCAGGTTCGTTGTTGAGCAGTTACGTCATAAAGGAAAAATATTTTCTGTACCTTAGATTGTCTCATGGATTCTTCATCTTCAGATTCTGACTCTCCTGATGATGATGATGATTCATCTTGAACCTACAGGATGGAATCTAATGATTAATACCCTGCAGTTTGAATAAAAAATAATCATCAGCATAGCAAAGAAAAATAATAGATGTTTTAAAATTCAGAATTCTACCATTCTCACTTGAAAAATTCAAAGGTTTTATTCAGCAGACACTTTCCCGTGAGAAAAAAATAACATTGATAATAAATGCACAACACAACATTTTATAATTTATGCAGTTATAAATTTTGTAACTTCGTATTTTATTGAGTTGTGATATAGTTCTGACTCACACTCTATCGACACTGATTAGCGTTGAAAGGTCGAAAAATGTGATGCAAGAAAAGTCGAGGGAATGCGCTAAGGCAGGTTCAAGTTAAAACTTAATTTGTCTTTTGTACTCAAGTAAAGTCATAGACGATCGAGCTATTTTAAGAACGCGTGTTAGAGCAGCGCGGTTAGGATGTAACAAATTAAAGTTTCGCCTTCGTCGTTGAAGCCATCGATGAAGGCGAAATGAATTTGCAATCGAGAAATCTCGAGAGCTCAGGTATTTTAAAGTTTTACTGTTCAGTGAGTAATAATTAACTTGCAATCGAAAACACGACCAAAAGTTAATTATGCAGAAAGCAACATCAGTGGGTTGTGTGTTAGTCTTTAAAACCGGGCTATTTTAATGCAGAGCCCTGAGATCTTTTTCAAATTTTTAAACTTTCCCTTTGAAAAAGTGGTGAATACGTCCTTGCGTTATTGTAACATTTACTTTTAAAAGCAAATAAGCTCATTTGACGCAATATTTGTTAGACTAAATATTTGAATCAAATTAAATCTCCATAACATCATGTTTTTAATACCCAATTGTGCACTCTTTAGAAGTCAAAAACTCTTTTATTCAAGAGTATATCTGGATTATCAAACAAATACGTAGCGATATGTTTTCAAATCGAGGAAAATCTTCGGTGAATGGCATATACGCAAAGAAATATGGACAATTTTATTCACGCCATTTCAGTTCATCTAATTTAGTATATGACGGCTATTAGGGTGGGTAAATTAATCAAGAGACTTCGCTAAATATTCTTAAAACGCTGAGTAGTTGAAAGCGAAAGTCTTTAAGACATATATATATATATATATTTTAAAAAAGCATATGATTCTTTATATGGTTTAAAAATATCGCTGTCTCACCAAATTATCTTGTTCCGATTGTTCTTGGCCCAATGCGCTCAAAATAAGCTTCTTGTCATCCAAGTATACTTCCCCAACTGGTTGATACGGCTTATAAATTACCGAGCGATAACCACATTTGCTCATCTGGTGCCGACGTCTTTCATAATTCTCTTTCGCAACTTCTTTCCGAGTTGGAACTTCGCAAGTGTAAATCTTTGCATGTCGAGCTGTAATCTTCAAACCCTGATGTGATGGAATTGGCAAAGGCACAGGCCGTATGTACGAGCGAGGGTTTTCAGAATCCGGCATTGTCTTATCCGTATGTCACTGGCGTAACTCCGATTTATAGGTTGCGTTTAAATGTGCTGCAATTTTGTCTAAAAGTACTGCAGATGTAACGAAAGGCATGATCAACTTCTTCCGTCTGATTCAACGAGTGTTGGTGCGATAAAGATGTCGTTTGCATAAAATCAAAGGAACAAAGGGTATCGCCATAGCAACCATAAACAGGGTTATATGTCGAACACCAAAGCGCGTTTGAGAGACGTTTAACCGAGAGAAGTACCACAAAAACAGACTGCTTATAAACAGGCTCACGCTTCTTTCCTCTTAAGGATAAAAATATAGTTTTGAGGAAAGAAAAGAAAACAAAGGAACTGTTCTTGTGCGAAATGTCAATTTTATTCCTTATGGGGAATTAGACTTCTTGCTTCTTTTTCTGTATTTTGAATTTCTTCTTGTTTTTGTTTTCCTTGTGTATTTTATTGCTCTTTTGAAATTTTTTATCAGTTCTAAAAGCTTTGTAGCAAAATGCCAATTAGTCATTTATATTCATAAACCTATCACTAAGTAAATGAAGCAATATTCTTGAGCAGTCAAGAGGCTGGTCACGTAGAAGATAGGGGCTAAGATAAACAGGGAAAGAAAATTTGAGTATGCTTTTAATCCTTTTTACTCCTAGAATTTAGTAACTTGTAACTTCTCCCCATGATATCCATACATGATCCAGGATACAAGTAAGAAGAATATTCAAACTTGTCCTGTAGTTGACTTGATCTAACACCAAATTCTTGTTACTAGTTTAGAAGGAAGTGTGTAGAAGCAAGAGGGGAGAATTAACTATCAGATCTTGGGAGTTAATGGGGTGTGGTTAGGTAGTTGAAAATAGGCAGTTGCAGTTATGAATAAAGAGGAAAGAGAAGAGTTTAGAGTTTCACAGTTGAATTGAAGTGAGAGAGGTTACCATAATGTTAGAGATTGTCAAATAATTGGTAGAGAAGGGGGGTAGGAAATAAAGACTGGGTTTAATCTCCTACCCAGATCCGACTGTGTAACTGTTACCAAAATTTGCAACTGCCTAGCCAAGAAAGATCTGGGTAGAAGACTAGGGTGGGATAAGGCTTTGATGGGTTAAGTGAAGGGTAAAGAGGTGTGAAAGGGAGGGGGGGTAGACCTCAAGCAGTGCAGTGAAGGGGATTAAAGTGAGGTGTAGAGTTAGTGAATAAGAGGTGAGGCGTGGAACATAAGAGTAAAAATTTAGATGATGATAATAGTCCCACATTGAAGTAATTTGTAGCAATAAACAACTGCTATGCTTTTTTTTAAATTAAACTCAAATCACTCCTATGAAACTCTCAGTGCTATTTAACAGGATTAGTATTTCAGCCTGCACAAAATACAATAATTGTACATGATTATGTCTGGGTACAATCAAAATATTTTTAAAAATTATTTTCCAGGGTATCAATGTTTGCCAGAGACAATCCATACATGCAAAAAAGAGTCTTTACTCACTAAAGAAGCCCTAAACTTAATGGGAAAATTCCTGAAATATAAACAAGATATAAGGGTCTTAATTTGTTCTCTGTTTTCTTTTTTGCTTTCCAGTTTTTGGTCTAGATTTCTTTCCTTGCTACATATGTTTAAAGAGATTGATGTCAGTAATTAAGCAGTCTTCAAAATTAGACTTTTCTGCCTTTTCTTTTCTGATAGCTTTTTGCACCACTTGAAGTCTAACTGTTGCAGAGATCTAATCACCTTGATGGATGTTTTCTGTTACCAAGTAATTTATTGAGTTATGTCTGTTCTCTACTCTTTTCAGCTGCCTTTGCTTTGCTCTTTCTTGCAATCTTCAATGCAAAGTATCAGAGGTAATTTCTGGCCTTCCTTACCCAACCAAGGGTACTCTTGGGGCTCACTTTTCCAGTTTTTCCCATGTGGAAACATGACATGTACATCGCCTGCATCAGATCTTACGAAGACAATACCTTTCGCATTCTTAAATCTCATCCATTCTGCAGTGGCTAATGCAGCAGAATGGCGAGTGCCAAACCGCATCCCATTGGCTTTGCAAAGTTGATAGTGTTGTGGAAGGAACTCTAGCTTTGCTGCAGCCGCCAAAACTGTACCACTGTGTGAAAGCACAAATGCACCATCCTTTGGCTGCATTTCCAAAGCTGCAAGCTCTGATGACATTCCGCATTGTGTGGCAAGGTTATCAAGGAGTGACTGCTCCCAGCGATCTGACTTACTAGGAGTGCAGAAGGCATGCAGGAGATGTTGAAATAATTTGTTGTTTACTCTTTCAGTATTCAATCGACAAAATTGGTTAAGGTAGTCATTGTCTAATGTTGATATCTTTAGATCATTTTTGTGCTCCTTATCAACAATCACAAAAATAGCACCTCCATGCACTTCAGGACCCCTCAGAAGGTCAAGGACAGTAGTCAGGGTGGTATGATACCCATTACTGCCTGATGCAACTGTCGAGAATGCATCACGAAGGCCTCCTAGTTTCACTGGTTCTGCTTGTATTACTTCCAGGGCTTCTAACCTAATACAAGAAGTGACTGTATTGGTTGAAGATGACAGAGAGTATGACCCTTTGAATGACTCAAAATGCAAGAATTTGCCCACCAGCAGCTCATCCAGGTAACACTCACCTGGCTTCAGCTCTAATGTGAATGGCTCTTCTGGTGCTTTTACTGAAAAGCCATTAATGAAATGGCGGTCCAAATTTGTATACATGTCAATAATATGTGCATGCAGATGCTTCAAAGACTCAAGGCTGATGGCATATTCAATTCCTCGAGTAGCATGGCTTTTGATTTTGTGACCAGATTTTAAAACTATCCAGTTCATGAGTCCAATCACATCATCTGACACCTGCCAGGTAGCATTGCGTGGGTCATGGTGTTGATGATTCACAACAAACTTAGCTTCTCCAATCTTTCCACCAATATCTGCATCAATGATGCCGGCAATATGCTCATCTTCCATGGAAAACCAATTGTCTATAAAGTCATGGATGACATACTTTTGAAACTGTTCAAGGCTCACTCTTCTCTCTGCCTCTTTCCCCCAAAATTCCGACCGTAGATGCGAATTTTTTCTTGTTACGTTTTTAATAAAGTACATCATATTACCAGGATTAAGGTCTGCATGGACTTCTGAATGCACAGTATGGAGAAACTTTAGCATGCCTACAATGAACTTTAGGTTATTGAGAACCAGAGGCTTAGCTCTAAAGCTTATCATAATGGTGTATAATGAGCAAGTCTTATAAAAGAGTACCGGACGTCTTGGCTGAAAGATACCATGAATTACTTTCAGGACGACATGATGGTCAGTTTTTTGCTTCTTAACTAAGAAGCAGCAGCCAAAGGCTCCCCGTCCAATCCTTTCTGTTATTATGTAGCTTGAAGGTAGTTCGTGCTGGAAATGGAGCCTAGCCATATTAACATCCAAATCTTTAAAGCCATTGTAGTTCTCTCCATCTAAAATTGCCAAACCTTCACAATGAACTTCTTGCCGTGGTGCTACATAACCTTGGTCAATCCATTGTGTTTGTTTTGTCTCATAAAATTTCTCTTCCTGTCCACTTTCATCTGACGAGCTACTAGGCACATTTTCGTGAGGAAGCTCATTTGCCATTTTAGTTGGTTGCTCTACTGCAGATTCTCAACGTTCCGTAGACGGTACCAAACTCTTCTGGTGAGCGATAAGATATTTCCCATTCGAGGCAAAATACAAGAAAAGAATACCCTAATTAAAACGGGGAAGTAAGCTAGCCAAGATTCTGAATCGCTGTAGGTAGCTGCAGTCGCGGATATCCCTTGAAAACTCGCGCTTGTAGGAAGTTAACGTAGTAGTAGTCGGGAAGAAGTTGAACGCCGAACTTGTTAGTCGAATTTTCTTGTCGATTAATTTACTGCGCTCGACGATGGAGAACTCGCCGTAACGACGCCATCTGTAGTGTGACCTTCAAGAATGTTCTAGAAGTAGCTGTGTCATGCTGATTCATCCCTGAATCAATATATAAATGGAATCTATTGTAATGTTACGGAACGTTCTAGATCCTCAACCGTACCTATATAAGCCGAGCCACATGCGGTCCAAGCTCCAGCTGTTAGATGATCAAAAATACGTCAAATTCTCAATAAAAATACCTCACCTTACTTCCACAGTGTATCACTTGTTATCTGAACGCTTACTTTGATGAAAAGAGCCCATTTTAGCGAGTTGTTCATTTCGAGGTTTTCAACGTATATAAGTAAGGTGAGGTATTTTTATTGAGAATTTGACGTATTTTTTTATTCCTTAGAGCGGTCGTAAATATTCCCATACAAACTCTTATAATTCCGCCATGACTGTTATTGCGCAAGATGATCATCTCACAGCTGGAGCCTGGGCCGCCTGTGATTAAACTTTGGCGACGAGGAGTGGACTTTCTTCCATGACAAAGTCTTGATCCGCTCGTATTTGATTTGCGACGAGAGGAGGGAGCTTTGAATTTATCAGACTACGTGAGGCTATAAATAATTTATATTCTCTTGCAGAACCTTATAGCTTGTGTGAGCATCAAGTACATGATGCAAATTTCTGTTTATAGTGATGTGGAATCTGTGAACAACACAAAATGTACAAAAGGATGGCAGTGTGGCCTAAAGTTTTCATGCTCTAAACTTGCAATGCACGGTTTGTCTTAAATATGTTCATTTTATGTCAATGAATGCAAATGAAATAATATGGTTGTTTTGAAAGTAAATTTAAATATTTATAAACGATGTTTCTTTTTATTGCAGGCCAAATCAACTACTTTTCTTTAATTGGAAAAGAGTTATTGTAACCACACATTTACCTAGCTCTGGAAAATCGAAAAAATTTTGTTTACTACTGTATAGAAAAGTAGAAGGTGAGAATTGTACTTTTAAACAAATTGTTCTTCAAATGTATTCTTAAGTGAAAGAAAAACGATTTGCACTCTTGGATCAACTTTTGTAATAAATTTACCGATCAAAGTAATACTCAGGTGGCTAAAAAGAACTAAAATGACGATTTATTTTATTAATTTTCTCCCTTTAATTTTCTTTTACAAGCTCTAAACGTCTTGTATGACGACCACCTTGATATACTTAATACCAACTCTGTCCTTTCGGTCCTCTGAGTAGACTTCGAATGTAAGACCCCTACTGAGCATGAGTCGGTTACTGTAACCAATGTTCTTCACGGATCCTCCGTCATGCGCAGTGTAACAGGAACCCCAGCGTTCATCCAACTTTATGGTGAAGACAAAGCGACCTGGGTACTTGGAGTGACCAGGCTTGTTAGTCGCTTGTGAAATGTATTGATGAGAGGATAAAGTTTGACCAGGTACACCTTCCAATCCATAGCATGGATACATGTTGATGTAATTTGTTCTGTCTCGCGTTTGGAATCCAATAAATCTTGCACCATCTGACACACCATATCGGGTGTCACTGTCAACAACCTGTCCAATGCTCGCGTCATTTGCTACGGTAATTTCAATGGTCAGCGGGGTGGTAGATCTTAAAGCGCCAGGGGGTATTAAGGGAACTTTCAGGAGAGCTCTCTGAGCTACTGAGCCTGCGTTGAATGTTACTTGATCAGTGGTTGACGTACGAGAGTTGTCAATGTAGGACGCGTGCGTTTCTAGCCAAGATGGAGTCATGGTCTGGTGGTAAAGTATTTCTCCCTGTAAAGGAAATTGAATTAGAAATTAACTGTTTTTATAAGTCAAGATAAAAACTACTCTTGTATCTCGTGGTTTGTTTTTAACTGTCTTACGATCTGATTTCGCGGGCATGTGTTATATTGACAAAGATATGGTTTGCACGCCAAGCCGCTGGTATACAAGGCTCACATATTATAAGCGTTCTGTATACTCCGAGAATTAACTATGTCGCAGGCATCATGCAAGCGAAAGAGAGATTGTTTATTTCTGACGACTCAAACGACTTAGCTGCTCAAAAATACACAACTTCACTCCTTAATGACTCCAAACTATTATTATATTATAGATTATAGATAATTAACTACTGATGGAAATACCGTGTATAAATAAAGTTATCTTATCTTATCTTAAACCTCGGTCATATCATGATTTATGAGTCAGTTCTAAAGCCTCATAGGCAAGTTATCTTTCAATGATTTCCTAACTAGAAAGCATCGCTATTTCCAATCCATGAGTCAAATCAAAAGCGACTTATCAAATAAGGCTAAGAATTTGGGCAGGTTTGTCGCTAATATTACTATATATGCAGGATGTATGTAAGCCAATGTCGTATTTTGCGACATACAAATGCCTGGCCTAACTAATTGACCCTATGTAGTAACATGTGCACTTACTTCGCTCAAAACAGGAAATAAACCAGCAACATAGATAATCCATATTATTTCCATTGGATTGCCTTTCTCGATTTCACGCAAAATCGCCTCTCAAAATGTACAGAAGCTGATCAGGTTTTGAGGAATGCAGTTGCACATCCAGTCATTAATACTCCGGATGCAATCTCAAGTCGTGGATCAAACATACCTCGATGCTAACCTGACTTATATTTGACAACAACCACATCATCAACTATATTTTGTTGCAAAATGACAACACGGGTTCAGAGATGTGTCGAAAAATCTAACTTGTATGTCCAAAAGCCATAAACAAGGAAACGTCTCTTTAACATACCCTCTTCTATTTTCCACCGTAAAAATTTATGAAAGTTGTCGACATGTAAAAAGGTAACTTTCAATCCGAAATAGGAGGAATTCAATCAATATTGTTATCATCGAGCTGGTAATTTTGCCATTCAGATATAAGTCCAAAAAATTCCACCACATGAGAACACCGATACTAAGTAAATGATATAGGGCTGTAGTGGCGCTCTTGAAATCAATATTGATAACATTTTTTACACTTACTGGCCGGGAAGACGTGTTATTTTAAGTGGCGTCAAGATGCAATGTAGAATACTTGATACAACAGATCTCGCGTTTAGTACGCTGTACTTACGAATCTTAAGTCAGAGGCGCCCTCTCCACAGCTCCTTCAATCGTTTTCAGTGTTTAGACCTCATATCCAAAGTGATTGAGATCGAAAACGGGGCTCATCAAAAATGCTGACGTCAACAAAGTGTATCGAAGCTAGTCATCTGTTGGTGGCAAACTCGGGAACCTCAATGGAAAGCCTTAAAAGTCTATTATATGGCTTAAAATGCCGATGAAAAGTTCTATCTTAAACACGCATTCCATAAACATAAATCTATACTCGAACTTTCTGCCTAAACCGATATTGCTCGTCTTCCTGGTTTGTCTAGAATAAATAGAGATTATCCCGTGGAAAGTGCGCACGAACGATCTTTATTCACCAGTTGCAATGCATCATAAAAACGAAAGAGTGAGCGCAGCAAACAAGTGAGTTTTTTTGATGCATCGCAACGAGTGAACAAAAATTGTCAAAGGTATAATGTTTTTATTTCATACATACTGAGATTTACTCCGTGAAGTACTATAAGAAACGAACGACAGTGAAAATACACCGTTTGTCCAATCAGAGACACGAATGATAGTATACTTCACAGTGTAAATCTCAGTATTTATGAAATACTTTTTTTCTCAAAAAGCCCCGTTTAAAACCAGCGACTGTACATTTTCATTACAATGATGCCCTTCTCGTTATGGAAGACTATAAAATATTTATCTGAAAGCAAACCTTTTTCAAGTAACTATGAAAAGCCATCATATGTTAGAATTGACATTGAGCTAAATACTCCTTTTGTGTCGTATGCGGTTCCTCTAATACATGGACAATATCTTATTAAGTGACAAGAAACTGTTGACACAATGCTTTAGTTTCTTGCCTTGATATTCTTCTGAGTTTTTTTTGTCTCGCTTTTTTCGAAACAGTTTCTAATATCAAACAGCCTCCGATACTTAAAACACGAAAACACTTTCAGCGCATGGTAGACTCATTAGTATATTTTTACAATACAATTATTGCTTTGCGACCCAAGTCCAACACTGATTCAAAGCGTCAAAAATAAAACGTTCAGTGGTATTTCCTAAGCCAGACAACAAGCAGTCTCTACTTTTCAGCCGAAGTCCATCGTGCGACTAAAAAAAAAAAAAGGGGGTAAAAAATTGAAGATAGCGGTTCGCGCTGAACTCTGGAAGTGAGGCGCACGAAGGTAGTGAGTCTTACTATCACAGTTCTGCGACGCCAGCTGATGTTGATTCTGTCACTTATATTTTTGACTCAGGCGACAAACTTCGGTGAAAAGGAGGAACTGCTCGCTTTTTATTAAGCGAGATCTAAGCTAGGCATCTTGTACAATGGCGACTTTAATGTACTTGATGCCAACTCTTTCATATGCTTCGTCTTTATAAACTTCAAGATTAAGTCCATTACTGATCACCAATCGTTTGTTAAATTTCGCCACGTTTGTATAACCTGCATCATGTGCGGTATAACACGACCCCCAGCGCTCATCTAACTTAATGGTGAACTCGACTTGACCCGGGTAGAAGGAGTCCTGCGGTTTGGGTGATACACGATTGATGTACCTTAACCCGTGTAAACTCGAACCAGCAGTTCCTTCTACTCCATAGCAGGGTGGGCGCGGAACACTGTTGGAATAACTGGCTTTATCAGGAACATGAAATCCGATGAAGTTTGTGCCATCTGATACGCCGTATCTGTTATCGCTTTCCGAGGTGGTTCCGATTGTGACGTCATGGGCCACTGTTATCTCAGCGGTTAGCCGGCTGTTACTCATGACGACACCGGGGAGAATCATGGGAACTTTAAGAAGTAAGGCGTGTTTTACCGAGCCAGCGTTAAAAGTGATCTGTTCATTGGTTGTTGTGCGTTGACTGTCGATGTAAGACGCGTGCGACTCTAACCAGAATGGAGTCATTGTTTGATGGTACACAACATCTCCCTGCAAATAAGACAAAGACAGTGAATGAGATGTTAAATACATTTGATGAATGGAGGAAACCAGTATCTCTCATAGGCAGGTAATTTAGTGTTAACAACTGAGTTAAAAACGTAAATTGACCGCGTACAGATTTTCAGAGCTAACGTTTTGAGCGTTAGCCCTTCGTCAGAGTGATTGACGAAGGGCTAACGCTCGAAACGTCCGCCTTTAAACTCTTTACGGTGATCAATTTACGTTTTCAACTCAGTTGTTAACACTAAATTACCTGCTATACTCTCCCACCGACGCAGTAACCAGTTTCTTTAGAAACTTACCCCCTTTATTCATTTGTCTCTCATAGGCAATCTTGGCTAAGCCCTTAAAGAACCCATTTAAATCGTTATTCCAAACTTTTGAATCACTCAAGACGACAGAGACAAAATAAAAAATTTATTCAAAGGACAAAACTTTGTTACAGTAAGTTATGACGTAAGGCAAACTTCAGTTGATCCAAAGACCAGAATTTCTCAGTCTCCGTTGTTGTGGAGTTTTTCGTTCTCCTTGAATTGCGATTTCTTCGTGAGTAATTCCAGAAAAGTATCTTAACGTATGTACAGCGTTAGTTAGCTTTAGCCGATAATTATACCTTTCATCATTTCGTGCATGCCTGCGAACACATACAACTTTATCTACAGGGATCATTTAAATTTGACCTGGTCGATACTCCAGCAGTTTTCTTACGCCGTGAAACCGCAAAACACATAACACAAATTAACTTACATTGCAGAAGACAGCTGCTTGTCCTAGAAAGGCAAAAACTATCCATTCAAACGCCATACTAAAGTTTGCTGTACATGCAGGCCCCTTTCAGCAGAAAAAGACTAAATTGCCACCAAGGAATGCTCTTGAGCTGCTTTCGAGCTAAGTGGATTTATATTGTCTTCGTTCCCGAGGCAGAAATATCCAGAAGTTGATAGATAAGCTAAGTACAACTCTAAATAAAAAAAACTGTCACTTGAACTTGTCAGAAACAAGCCGATAAAACAATACTGATAAAATCCTAGACGCCTCCTTCACTTAGCTTTCTAAGCTAACGGTAGCCCAAGATGTGAAGATCATTAAAAATGCAAGCGCAGACGCTGGTGAAACTACTCGTAGTGTAAATTTTCTCAACGGATGTAATTCAAGACACATTGACTGAAAGCGTTCTTACCTTATATTGGTCAGTTTGTTTCCAATACGTAAAACTTTGTTTCCTATATGTAAAACTGGAAGTTGTGTTTTGAGATAAATGCCATTGCATATTGCATGAGTAAAGGTATATATTTTGATCTCAAAGGTACTCCTCATGTAATTACCGTTCCTTTTTAAACCTCGGGTTCTCTCCTTGGGACAGAAACAAACACGTTTTGTTAATAATTACCAACTTAGAAAACAGATATTAGAAATAACTCAGTACAGTAATCTCGACTGTTCGGTTTGCTTTTAGATGGGGAAAAGCCGCAGAATATATACTACCAAGTCTTGACTGTTCATTGTTCACTTGTTTAACTTTTGAGGGTGAGCCTAGATTCAGAAGTCTTATCATGAGCTTTTCTGAGCAAAACCCAAACTTGCCGCCATTTTGGATGACATCAGAGCATTCCTCGCTCAGGTTTAACCTCGCTTCCATGATTTCTGCTTTTCCTGTTCCCTGGGGAGAGTACTGGTGGGAAGAAAAGAGACCCTTGTAGAACAGGTTAAATCAGTAACATTATAACCATAAATATTAGCATCATCTAATGGTTTATATAAAAAAAATTATATAAAGAAAAAATGAAGAAATCTTTATTTGATATTCTGGAATATTAAGATTTCTATCTGGCGGTTGAAATATTCCTTCAAAACTCGAAGACTGTAAAATTTAATCGAATTGACAAAATTGCATGTTCCCTATCACTCTTATATAAATACTCCACTTTATAGTATTTATTTATTTACCAGCTGTTTTTCAATTTTTATACTTTCTAGTATTTAGTTTCTTTAGCTTGAGTTTTTACTCCGTGCTACAGTTAAGTAGATTTTGGGCAGTTTATTGGCCCGCCTCCATAAGCAAAATTGCTAACTGGGGGTTAACTTATAAATAAAAAGATAAAAATGAATAAAAATTAGAGAAAGCATGAAGTGTGTTTTAAACTGAAAACGAGCAATTAGATTACATTTCACTGCATTTTCAAACCAATAGAATATGTGAAAATAGTTAAATGATTCAATATTGATCTCAGAGGAATTGATTCTGGAACGATTTTCAACCGGATCGTGCAAAACTAATATTACTTGTAAAGGTCTAATCATACTAAATCATATTTTCCGTTTCAAATTGACTGAATTGAAGCAAAATTATACCGGTCACATTTCCACTCGCTATATATATTTCTGCGAATTAAGAGTAGTTTTCTGGCTGGCTGCTTTTACTATAATTATATCTTAAAATATTAAATACTTTTAAAGATCAGGTATCTCTTTTAATTAAATAGGTGATCATAACACTATGTAATTTTTTTAACATTTCACGCCCAGTGTTATTCTAAATACCGTTTTCAAATTATCAAACCTGATCGGAAAACTCTAAATCGATGAAAATTGGTATATGAAAGGGAAAAATTCAGTATCAAAATGGTCGATGGAATTCTTTACAACAGCTCAGTAATAATGGCTCTGTGATTGATCAAACTAGACACGCTTTAAACTGCAAACAGCCCCGTAATAAACAAGAACACCTACTGAGCGGAAATCTTGGCTACCTGTTGTTTCTTGAACTAAAATGGAACACTAAAACTGTTTTTTGCTTGCAGTTTTCCTAGCAGAGAGGTTGAAATATCTCTCAAGGGACTGTTGATTAAGTTTAATTAAAAAAAAAGTGCAGTGCAAATATATAGTTCCCCTTCTTTGATCCTTCGAATTTTATTGACAAAACAGAGGCCAGTCATTGAAAAAATCCTACACGCCCTCTACCTTTGAGTTTCCATTTCAGGAAATTTCACAGTTTAATTTGATTGGTTAAAATAGATAAATATTTATGTTATTAGTTCAATTTTGTCAAAATCGTACACTATATTTCAACAAAAGAGACTTCGGTGAAGTCAGACTCGCTAATTAGTTGGTCGATTAATACTCCCGCAACAAATATCAATTGCGTCTTAAAGAAACAGCCATGAAGTCTTTTGTGGCTAAAGTGACTCTGCTAGCAGTTATTTCTTTTCTTTACTCAAAAGTAAGTACATTTTAATTGACCTAAATATGACTAGAATCGTCTTTTGATAACTGATTCTAATTGCCTTCTTAAAACGCGATAACCTTTAATTAAAAGATTCCTTTTGCTGACAAGCAGTGGAGAAAGTTTCTGAAAGTGATTATTCCATTCGAACTAGTTGACTATCCTTTAATATTCAACTTTTGTCCATGTAAAATTTAGGGAATTACAGGGAATTAAATTTTAACCAATCGCGTTTCTGATAACCACCATTTCATTTAAGCCCAAGGCATGCAAATTAGTCAACATCGAGGACCAGTTTTCTCTATAAAGCTAACAAACCAGCTTTTGTTCTACCATCTTCGCGGGAATTAGATCGGTAACGTTTGTTTTGAATGTTATGTCTGTGTTTCAGCTCGTGCTGTTTGTTGTTCTTGTCCTCCCTGCAAAATTAACAAATAGGTGGATAGCACCATGTGGGCTCAGTAGGGTCTCGAAGAGTATAGGACATAAATTTAATTGTTAGGGCCCGGGTTGTTCAAAGCTGGGTTAAGATAACCCAGGGTTAGTGTAAAATTTGATTGCAGTTTTGAAGGCTTAAAAGAAAATTCAGTTCAAATATTTTTGCTTGCAACTTGATCATAGAATTGACTGGAAAGGAATGGGGAAACTCTACCCTAAAAGACTTTCGAACAAAGAAATAAAGAAACCTGAATTGAAATTTAACCCTGGGTTAGCGCAGATCGGCCTTCGAACACTGGGCGTTGGTCTCCTTCCAACCCTCTCCTGTCGCAATAAAATGATTGCACAATCAAGCTACTTCTCTCACCTAAAGGTAATCTTTTTTTCCCTTTCCACTTTTTCCAACACGTAGGTAAGATGCGATGAAGGTTTCCAGTGTCCTCATTCTGCGTGTGGTCCACCAAAATCCTGTAAACTTCAGGTTAGTCGCCTACGATTTCCTTGCTTTCCTGACGAACTGAATGTAATCGTTATGCATACTTTTTAGAAATAACATAACTATACATTGAAATCCCTTTTTTTTCCCTAAACACAAGCACGCAAAAAAGCATATAAATTTCTGCCGTTCTGTTTTAGGATAAATTGATTTATCATCAGACCATGACACCAGCTTGGCTCGAAGGCCATGCCTCATACATCAACATTGCTCATACCATAACAGCCGATATGATCTCATTTCAATTAACTTCCACTGTGAGGGGACCCCAAACTAAAGACGCTGCCCTCCTAAAAGTACCTCTGATCACTGCTGACGTCCTGAAAGACTGCACACTGCTGACCGTGGAGATCACTGTTGCCAATGACGTCAGCATTGGAGGAAAAGCTTACGACAGCGACATCAGATACGGCCTCTCAGATGGGGAAACTTTCATTGGTTTTGAGGCTCCCGATAGGAAAAGTTATGGAACGTCTTCTCCTTGTTATGGAATTGAAGGAACACCTGGCAAATTCCTGAAGAAAATAAATTACAAAAACACCAAGTTCCCTAAGGTCAACAAGTACTCATACTACCCCGGTCGATTCTTGTTCACTTTCAAGTTAGATCAGCGATGGGGTTCCTGTTACACTGCGCAAGATCATGGCTTTGTGAAGACCGCTGGCTACATAAACCGACTGAAAGTCAGTAAGGGGCTCACTCTGGAGGTTTACAAGACTGATAAAAATGAGAGGGTTGGGATCAAGTTTATCAAGGTGGCCATTACGCAGGACTCGTCATGTAATCAGTATTGAAAAGAATCTTATTATAATAAATGTTTGTCTTGAGTCATCTGACTTCGAAGCTCACCCATTACTTTGGGTCAGGGCAGTTAGAATTATAGATTATAATGTAACATTGCACCTTTCACTCAACCAAACCTTGAGTTGAATCTGGATGAAAACCAATTTTGCAACTAAATAAAATGTGGGAGAAAAAAAAGGCATTTGTCGCACATTGATAGTGAAAAACCTAATAGACTTAGATAACTTTGTGCTTAGCTGCTCATCAAAGAGCTGGTTGAGCTGTTTGTTTCTGGGGACGAGAAGTTGCTGATTAAGGCAGCAAAAAACCCTTAATCTATAGCTGTAGCAGAGTACTTCAATTTAAACTATAATAAATTTAAGACAATCCTCGTTTGAGTTTGACTTTCTAAATCTTTCCTAATATCTAATCTGGGCAGGTTTTGTTGCCCTGAACTCGATTTACCCATCAGATCAAACAAAAAGTGCATATTGACCCTGCCCATTAGAATAACGAACCATTTGGCTGTTTCTTTAAGATACAATCATTTGATAACTGTGGCGCTATGTTGAATGTGGCCATAAGTCTGACGCCTAAGATGAGCATAATCTTTCATCACTTGTTAACGCTTAACCGAGACTACTTGAATGGAGCCGAAAATGAAATGCCTTGACAGTTTATCGGGGATATGCGGTTGACAAAAAGAGCCCTGACTGGCATGTAGTGCTGTGTTCCAGGATAACTGAGACATTTTACTATCACAGAGCTTGTCTCCACTAAGGAGTACCAAATACCTTACTGTGGTGGTAAACATTTGACAATCTAACCGCTTCACGTCATGGGAAATGACAGAGAAAAAAGGGTGGCTACGGGCCAATGGGTTTGTACACCCCAACGTTATATCAATTATCAAAACTGGATCACGAAAGCAAGGGTAACCACAGCATATATTTCATATTCGTTAGACCCAAAATTCTTGAATTTGATGAAAACAGTAGCTAATTAGGGCCATAATCTATGTGTTCCAGGTAGTGTGAAAATAACACAAGTTTATGTGGTTTTGGATAGCTTTTCATAAAAGGTGCGATTATCGATCAAAGAAATACAAAATAGTTCACGATCAATTAATAGCAAAAACAAATCGACTTATTTTCGTTAGTTAAACATGTCAACGAGCAAATAAATGAAGAAAACAGAAAAGTGGTTAATATGGTTTTAAAATATCAACTAATCATAAAAAAAAAATTTCCCCCCCAAAATATCCAACCGTGTTTTCGTGTTGAACTCTGCCTGTGAACCCTATAGATGTTTATAACCTCAGGATAAATAAAGTTCGGTTCCTGTTCTATTCAATTCGGTCAGAAAGCGTGATTGGTTAAAAACGAAAACAATTTTGTGTGATATGATGACAACAGGTTATGATTTTTTTAAAACATATCTTTTTTTCTTGTCCATACAAAGAAAAATTATGTCAGACTTCATATAAAAATCTATTCTCTCCGTTTTAAGCTGTCGCGCCGAGTTGTTTATTTGATCGATTACAGAAGAGATCAATTTTTCCAATGAAGTCCTCGATCGCTAAAGTAGCGGCAGTCTTGGCAGTCATTACCCTTTTTGTTCCTACTGTAAGTAATTCCTTTCTTTTCACAATTTATTTATAGTGTGCGGGTTTTTTTTTCTCAAATCCTACTTTAGGATTGTAACTAAGATGGAGCTTGAAAACCATACTTTTGAGAACATGAGTTCATAGAAGAAACGGATAATCGAAGAACTTTTACGAACAAACACTTCGTTGCCGAGATAGTCTGAACGCCATTCTATTTAGGACCATTCTATGATCAGGAAAAAGTCCCAGTTGTTAGCTTCACTCGACGTAGAAAGGATGGAAAAGTTTTATACGTTAGTCATGTAGGTGATAATATCTCTGACCACAACGACTGTTCTGGAAGGAAAGCAAGTGTCTACGTGGGATTGTTTTGACGATATTTTGGTGATTAATGCTATTTTCTCGACTCGATAATGAAGTGAAATCAATCTTTGGACGAAACACGTAGATCCATATATATCAAGTAAAGATATCGAGTGGCGTCAAGGCGCAGTTGGTTCCAACTTCTAAATATAATTTTGCTGACGAACCAAATTTCCTCAACTTATGATGGAAATAACAACAAATAACAGAAAAACGTAATTGCAATAACAATTAAAAAGTAGAACGGTAGCAGAAACACAGCAGAAAAAGTAACAAAAACAGCAAAAGTTCCCTTTTTCTCTCAATAGCGAGTTATATGGTACACAATGACGCACAAATTACACAACTTCGCCCCATTTGTTTTCTTTTTTCGCCATAGATGACTTGATGCAGATCGAGAACTCTCTTCATTTTGCGACATTTTGTCCGCTCTCGAATAATAGTAATTTTTTTTTCAACTCTTTCCTCTACATACAGGTGTACTGTGACGAGGCAAGACAATGCCCTCACTCTGCATGCGGTCCGCCGAAAGCCTGTGAATTGCAGGTAAGTACGAAAACTTTCCCAATTCAATAAAATTTGATAAATTTCACATTTCAGGCTCCATTTTAAGAGAATAGCTTGATGTCATGTGAATCTCATTCGAGTGACCGACTTATATCCGGTTGGTTCATGCTGTTCAATTCCTCTATCGCAGGATAAACTGATATATCACCAGACTATGACGCCCGCTTGGCTTGAAGGCTTCGCTTCTTACATTGACAGCTCACATTCTACAACCGCAGATCTTATCACTTTCAACGCGGGCAAAGTATCCAATGCTGCACTGCTTAAGATTCCATTAATCGCTTCCGACATCTTGACAGACTGTGTACCGCTGACTGTTGAGATCACCGTCGCCAATGACGTCAGAATTGGTGGACGAGGTTACGACAGTGATATAAGGTATGGCTTGTCGGATGGCATCAATTTTATTGGATTCGAAGCGCCAGACAGAAGGACGTACGCGAGTCAGTCTCCTTGTTATGGAATTGAAGGAACATCTGGCAAATTCCTGAAGAAAATCAATTACAAAAACACCAAGTTCCCTAAAGTCAACAAGTATTCATACTACCCCGGTCGATTCTTGTTCACATTCAAGTTGGATCAGCGATGGGGTTCTTGTTACACCGCACAGGACCATGGCTTTGAGAAGACCACTGGCTACATAAACCGACTAAAAGTCAGTAAGGGGCTCACTCTGGAGGTTTACAAGACTGATAAAAATGAGAGGGTTGGGATCAAGTTTATCAAGGTGGCCATCACGCAGGACTCGTCATGTAGTCTGTAATGAATAGTTGCCTAACGTGGCACCGGCAGTTCACCAACATTCTCCTTAACTGATTGGACTAATTGGAAAAATAGTAGAATTAAAGACTCGCCTCATGGTGTCACATTAGTAATTAAGCATTGATAAGAATTCATTTTGCCATGTATAGATGACCGCATGAGACTGGCGTTTAAAGAATATACTTTGTTCGTGGTTTCCCAAAGATGCCATGATATCAAATATCAAATCAGTGTCACTTGTACGGAAAGTTTCTCTTAAAAATATTCTTTAACGTGTTATTCATTATTCAACAAGTTATAAGATTAACTTGTTCGGCATCAATGAGTCTGCCAAGATGGCCGTCATTTTATACTCTTGCGCAAACTAGCATTAAAATGTGACGAAAAGGGACCACACGGTGTCGGTGTGAAGCCTTTAAAAGCTTTTCCTGTCCTATTATCCCCAAGACCTGAGAATTTGAAAAAACAAATGGCCCGGCCATAAGATTCTTATTACGTTACATCTTATTACCACAGCAGCCTTCTTCAATCTGTGAGGTATACATAAGTGAGCGCAATTTGGGGAAATTCGGTTAAGAAGCCTACTTCTTTTGCTTCCTGCCACGAGACGTAAACCTAACGTATAATATATGAATGGTATAAAGAGATATGGGAAACAAATACATCTTTCAAGCTACGTGGATCACAATATTCCACTGCGGCTGTAACTTTTTTTTGTTTTGTTTGAAAGAGGGACCTCCTCAAGTGA